ACTTCTCACCACTCACACGCGTAAAAATAATTCAAGATAAATAAAAGACTTGAATGTGTCTAAAACCATAAAGAATATGAGAAAGACCCACAACAAACTCTTCTAGATATCGGCGGCAAATGATGAAGTAACTAATAGAAAACAACCCGCAGCAGCAAAAACGGCAACACACAAAAATAAATAAGAGGCTTGATTAATTAGAGCTTCCCTGACCATTACTTAATCCACACACAGCAAATACCTACAGACATGGGGGCTATTTTCAAGTTATACATCATCTGAATAAAGCAGCTTAATACCAAAATCTACAAATCAGGATCAGCAAAAAAAAAATATGGCAAAGACATGAAAGAGTTGTTCAAGAGATAGCAATGGCCCAAGAACATCAAAAAAGCTTCACATCACTAGTCTCAGGTAATGTAATTAAAAGCACATGATTTATTTAAATGCTTAAAAATTTACCCTAGGGGGACAGGGATGTAAAAAAGACAAAGGAAAAGGCAACAGTAATTAGAAGTTGTCCTTGGAAATGATGAGGTTTTTTTTTTTTTTTTCTTCAAATAACTTCACTTTAATGTAAACTATCCACACCCAAACATTGTGGGGAGTACATAAGTCTCTTGGGTACCATATGGGGGGCGGGGGGGGAGCAGGAGAGGCAAGACAACGCTCCGAAAGGAATGGAGTGCTGGGACTGGTCACCTCAGACTCTCTTTCTCAAACAATTTCAAATATATGGTATTGGACTTATGGGTTGTAGTAATTGCATGCTGGCAGAGACGGTTCCACTATTAGCTGGTCCAGAACTCTTCTTTTGGACAATAAATACGAGCAGTGGTATTAACTCATCCAGAGGGCCACCTCCACATTGGTCCCCTGCAGGCGTTGGACGAAGCTGACCTTGTCTACCACTGAATGTAATGGAGATGGTGTAGTTTATTACAGTTGTCCTTGGCCAGTGGTTCTCAAAGTGGGGAGGTCCTGGCCAGCAGCATTAGCGTCCCCCAGAAACGAGTTGAGGCGCACTCGGCCCTACCCTGCTCCGGACTCAGCCGTTCCTGAGGCGGTGGTGCCCAGAGCCTATTGCGCGACAACCCTCCAGCTGACGGAGACAAACCAGATTCACGCTGCCACTGGCTTCCAGCTATTCTGGTGTCCTCTCAATTCAATTGGTTTTAACATCAGAATCCTAGTTTGGTGAGTTTTAAGTTAGTCTTGATTTTTTTTTCTGCAGACTTGTATTAAGCCTGAGAAGCAGAAATCCTGTAATGTGTATGGCCTAGGCCAAGAGCTCACGACTTTGTGTGAAGCAGGTTTTAGTATGTATCTTTTGACGCTCTTTTTTAGGCTTGACCTGTTGCTAACCCATTGATAATTTAATATTAAAGTATTAATAGGTTACAGTGAAAGGTGAATTTAATTGGCTGCCCTATAGCCATGTCCAATTTCCAGCTGTCACCTGTCACAATAGTGCTTACCTCTGCTGGTAGCTCAGAGCCTCCTGCATTTTTATATTTAATTTCTCATGGAATCAAATTTGCCATTCCAAAATTCCAAAAGTAATAGTACATGTTATTTGTATTTTGACTTAGAGTTTGTTATATAATCATTTTCAAATCAGACTTGCTTTCCTATGAATTTGTTCCATATTTTATTCATAGAAATCTCCGTTTTCCTTTTTTTCTTTTAGGAAAAATATAAACGAGCTTTGGCGGATACTGAGAACTTGCGGCAGAGGAGCCAGAAGTTGGTGGAGGAGGCAAAGTTATATGGTGACTGTGGGCATGATATGGGAGGCATGCGTGTGTGGGTGTCAAAAGAGTAAGACAGAGGGGAAGAGGACAGCAGTTGGATCCCCTCCCATTTTTTAAGATGGGTCAGCAGTAAAGGTGTCTGGAGGAGCAGAAAGTATGTAGTCAGGACTAACCTTTAGATTTGTAAGGTGCGACCATTTCTAGGGAGTGGGTTTACTGTGCCTCACATGGAGACCGTGGTGGAAACCTGCAGCCAACTGGAGCGAGTCAGCCTCCCATGCTCGGCCCCCTTGCTGTCCCAGAGGTAGCATGGCCATCCCTTCAGAACTCTCAGCATGCTATCTGCATTGTCACCTTTGGATATCTTTGTTGCTCTTCTTCCCATTTTACAGTTGAGATCATTGAGGCTTAATGACTTGCCTCACATCACAGAGCTAGTAGGTAATGGTGGTGGCATTGAGGCCCAGCTCCGGGCCCCACATCTGTGGTGTTTGTTGGACATGAGGCTACTGTTTGAATTTTCATCGTGGGCCTAGGCATAACTGTCAGGCAGATGTCACAGATGAGGAGCCAACGGTGCAGAGTGAGAGGGTAAATGGTTTGCCCCAGGACAGATGGGGGTGAGGGATGGGGTGACAGGCCACCGGCAACAAGTCCCAGATCTCATCTCACTGCCACATGCAACACAAATAATGAAGCCCTTCTTGAAACATTTTATTTTCCTGGCTGCTGTCGGCTCAGTTGCCTGGTATTCTTCCTCTCTTTCTGGTACTGCCCTTTGGTGGCTTCTTAAATGTCTGATCTCTAAATGTTTGGGTTCTTCAGGATGTGGTGCCAGGCCTCTTCTCTTCTCTTGCACATTCCCTGGGTGACTTAGGCACTCTCGTGGGTTTGCTGGGCGTTTGTGTACAGGTCTCTACTTCAGCTCTGGTATTTGAGAGTCCTGGTCACATATATTCTTTTGCTTACTTGACATCTTTGCTTGGATGTCTCAAGGGTATTTTTCCCCTCTTCCTGTGCTTCATTTCATCCACATTTTAGTAAATTTTAGGTCTTATCTCATAAAAGGTAGTTTGGAGGGTTTTGTTTTATATTTTTTTTTAATTATGAAGACATTGAAACTCGGGCAAATGAGTGATTTGACAAGTTTTTAAATAGCCTGTGCATGAAGTAAACAGTGCTCCTTATCTTCATTTAGGCATTCAGGCCTTCTGCAAGGACTTATTGGAGGTTGCAGACATTTTGGAGAAGGCAACACAGTGTGTTCCAAAAGAAGAAATTAAAGACGATAACCCTCACCTGAAGAACCTGTATGAGGGGCTCGTAATGACTGAAGTCCAGATTCAGAAGGTGTTCACAAAGCACGGTTTACTCAAGTTGAACCCTGTCGGAGCCAAGTTCAACCCTTACGAACATGAGGCCTTGTTCCACACACCAGTTGAGGGGAAGGAGCCAGGCACAGTGGCACTAGTTAACAAGGTGGGGTACAAGCTGCACGGGCGAACCCTGAGACCCGCCCTGGTGGGAGTGGTGAAGGAAGCTTAGCTACCTCTTGTGGGGTTTTGGTCTTTTTAAGTCACTTGCTGTAACTCTTAAAAAGCTGGTTCATCTTTTCTCATCTATGCATATATTTGACCTCTTCCCAAACCTTGTTGGAAAGCTTAAGTAACCAGTGGCTAAACAGAAAATTAAGCCGGTTGCACAATTGTGGTAATGAACTCTAATTCTGGAGTCTGTTCGCTGATTGTTCACGTATAGTAGTTCCACGTATAGAAGAGCACCAGCAGGACACTGCTGGGCCTCCAGTCTCATGAGTAACGCTGTATCTGCTCACACTCTGGTGAAGGCTCAGTATTTTGAACAAATAAAAAGTCTTCAGGAATTCTGCTCTTTGGCTTCCTGGACACACCAGTCTGTACCGTGTCTTCTGCACTCACTGTCACGTGCGGGTCACTGGCATACTTAGCCCACTGTACATTTGAGTTGAGACATTTTTCTTGCTAAAAAAAAAAATATGTGATGACCCACATGAAGGAACATATATGAGTTCATTTATGATCAGTCACTGCCTAGCTGCTAAAAATGAGTGAGCTCTGCCTTTTCTGTGGACATGTGAAGTGAACATGTGTTAACAGTTCTCACCAGCTCTATTTTGCCAGTAATTGAGTTTGACAAAATCAGTTCTTTTTTCCGTGTTGTTCATCTAAATGTGGAAATATTTAAATCCATATTTAACTAGTTACTAATGACTGAAAGGTATACTCCCTAGTAAGATGCCTTAAATGTTAATGTTTAAAATTTTTATTTAAGAGTATTAAAACCCTAATATGTTTATATCCCTGCTTTCTGATAATTTTGTGTCCCTTGGTGAAGGAGGTCCTTGAGCCACTGGGGCAGGTGTGACCCTGCCTTCTCTGAAGCTGCCGGCCTGACGCGCTGCTCTCCCCTTATGCACGCGCCCCGGCCAGTGCTGCCAGCTGACACTCAGCCTTGCAGCCTGTCGTATTAGAACAAAAAACACACAGGGGACTGAGGAAGTGAAGTATCTGTTATAAATAAGAGAAAAAAATAACTTTCTACTGCCTTTGCTTCTAGCAGTGGTACTTCTAGGATTGAAGGGCAATGCTGATAAATCCGTTTGCTATGCAAAAAAGATGGGTATAGACAATTTATTTTGCATATGATTTTGAAAGATGTAGGTAATAGTCCTGTAATTAAAGTTTCATCGTAGACTATTTCTAGACATTTTCCTCCTTTCCTTTAAGCTGCCTTAGTCAAAAACATACCCCACTGGTCCAACTACTTGGGAGGCTGAGGCGGGAGGAGCCCAGGAATTTGAGCCCACCCAGAACTAAGGGCAACATAACATTGGAGAAAACACTACTGGAGTTACACCCCTGCCTATTTTTATATAGTGTAGCTGTGGGTACATCTTTGACCTCTCTGGAACTCATCTGAGAAATGAAGGCTGAATAAGAAAAGTAATTTTGAAACTAATTTCTATGAATGTGTATAATCCCTTTTCATCTAGATCTGTGATTGCTAAAGCACTAAACTCAAGCTAGAGACAATATAGCTGAAATGTGGCAAAACGCTTCTTCACTGTAAGTTTCAGTCATCACCACTATAGGTTGGGTATTCCTTACCTGAAATGCTTGTGACCACAGCACTTTGAATTTTGGTTTTTTAGAATAGTCAAATGTGTCACTTAACAATAGGAATATGTTCTGAGAAATGTGTTGTCAGGCGATTTTGTCATTGTGCAAGCGGAACATACTATACAAACCTAGATTTGTATAGCTATCGCTCCTAGGCTACAATCCTGAACAGGAAGTCACTATGCTGAATGCCATAGGCAACTGTAGCACATGGTGAGTATTAGTGCATCTAAACATACTTAAATATGAAAAAGGTAGGTGAAAACATGGTATTATAATCTTACAGAATGTCAGTGTATGTGGTCCATCCTTGACTGAAACATTGTCATGCAGCACATGGCTGTATTTACGTCATACTTGCTGTTGAGTATCCCTAATCCCTAAGTCCGAAATGCTCCAATGAGCCTTTCCTTTGAGCATCATGTTGGGGCTCAAAAAAGTTAAGATTTTGGAGTACTTCAGATTTTTGGATTAGAGATACTAAACCTGTCATAGGAAAACATCTTTTAATTATGTACTTATTTACGCTGGAAGTTAAAGATTTGTTCAGCTACATTCTAGTCAAGTTACTAGATTTAGCCTAATTGCGGCATGGCTAAGTCATACATGTAGACAGTCAAAACCAGAACCAAAAGTCCGTAACAGACCCTCAGAAGCCTCTGAACGTCAGCCTGGCTCCACCGAAGACTTGTCTTCTCAAGATATACTGCTACTGTCAGGGAGGGGGGCTGGCAAGAAAGGGTTTCTGCCTAACAAAGCAACATTTTTTTGTTGTTGGGAAAATTGGTTTGATACAGAAACGCCAGACTGGACCATGTCACGTGACAGTTCACCTGTTGTGTGCACTGGCTCACCCGGATCTGTGTGCTCTGAAAAACAGTCTCAAGGAACAAGTGGCAAGAAGCAAGCAGTGACACCACTTTGTTCTCAACTTGTTTAATACATAAAAGGATAATAAAAATGGTAGTCAGAGTTTCAGTTTTTAATACATTCTTGGAATGTTGGCCATCCAGAGAGCATTATTTCAAATGGCTGGAGAAAATTACCCAACTTTTTTGACTCAAAGAGTTTGCTTAAATTTTAAAAAGACCTAATTCCATGGGATAGTGGTGGCAAATTTATCATGAGAAATAAATATAAAAATGCAGAGGCTCTGAGCTACCAGCAGAGGTAAGCACTATTGTGACAGTGACAGCTGGAATTGACAGGCTAAGAGGCAGCCAATCAAAATCACCTTTCACTTGTAACAAAGTATTAATACTTTAATATAAATTAATTATACATTCATTATGGTGTTTTAAAACAGTCAAGCCTAAATAAATTCTTCATACCGTCAAAAAGATACATACTAAAAACCTGCTTCAACACAAAGTTTTTCATTTGACAGCTCTTGGCCTAGGCCATACACATTTACAGGGATTTTCTGCTTCTCAAGCTTAATACAAGTCTGGCAATTGTTTTATATAAAAATAAGACTAAACTTAAAACCTCACCAAACTAGGATTCTGATGTTAAACCAATGAATGAGACACCAGAATAGCTGAAGCCAGTGGTTCTCAAGCGTGAATCTGCATCCCGTCACTGGAGGGCTTGTCGCATAGCTCTGGGCACCACCCCCAGAACGGCTGAGTCCGGAGACAGGGTGGGCCCGAGTGTCTGCACTTCTAACAAGTTTCTGGGGGACGCTAATGCTGCTGGGCCAGGAACCCCACTTTGAGAACCACTGGCCAAGACAACTGTAAAAACTTAGCACCATCTCCATTACATTCAGTGGTAGACAAGGTCAGCTTTCTGTCAATCGTATTTGTCCTGCAGGGGACAATGTGGAGGTGGCCCTCATGAGTAATACCACTGCTCAGTACTTTTATTGTCAAAAGAAGAGTTCTGGACTCAGCTAATAGGGAACGCTTCTGCCAGCATGCAATGTACTTTACAACTAAAGCCATATACCATATATTTGAAATGTTTAAAGAGAGTCTGGAGTGACAGTCCCAGCACTCCATTCTTTCAGGAGCTTGTCTTGCCTCTCCTGCCCCCATAGGTACCAAGAGACTATTTACCTCCCACAATGTTTGGGTGTGAAGTTACATTAAAGTGAAGTTATTTGAAAGAAAAAAAAAAAAAAAACCTCATCATTTCCAAGGACAACTTAATTACTGTGCCTTTTCCTTTCTTTTTACATCCTTCTGTCCCCTAGGGTAAATTTTTCAGCATTAAATAAATCATTGTGCTTTTAATTTACATTTACCTGATGACTAGTGATGTTGAGCTTTTTTTTGATGTTTCTTGGCCATTTGCTTATCTTCTTTTGAAAATCTTCTGTTCATGTCTTTTGCCCACTATTTTTTTTTTTGCTGATTTCCTTGAGTTCTTTGTAGATTTTGGTATTAGCTCTTTATCAGATATATAACTTGAAAATAGTTCCTCCCATTCTGTAGGTTGTCTATTTGCTTTGTTGATTATTTATGTAATTTGCAGAAGCCTTTTAATTTAATCAAGCCCCTTTATTTATTTTTGTTGTTGCCGTTTTTGCTGCTGGGGTCTTCCTCATAAGTTCTTCATCTAGCCCGATATCTAGAAGAGTTTTTTTCAATATTTCTTCTCATATTCTTATGGTTTTATGACTTACATTCAAGTCTTTTATTTATCTTGAATTATTTTTTTGTGAGTGGTGAGAAGTATGAATCCTATTTCTTTCTTCTGCATGTGGCTATCCGGCTGTCCCAGCACCAGTTATTGAATGGGGCTTCTTTTCCCCAGTGTATACTGTTGTCCGCTTTGTCAAAGATCAGTTAGCTGTATGTGGATAGTTTTGTATCTGGCTTCTTTGTTCTGTTCCATTGGTCTATGTCTCTATTTTTGTGCCAATTTCATGTTGTTTGGGTTACTATAGCCTTGTAGTATAGTTTGAAGTCTGGTAATGTGATGCCTGCAGATTTGTTCCTTTTGTTTCAGATTGCTTTGGCTATTCAGGCTCTTTTCTAGTTGCAAACACAGATACAATTATTTTTTTTCTAGATCTGTGAAATATAACATTGGCATTTTGATGGGGATTGCATTTGATCTGTAAATCATTTTGGGTAGTATGGACATTTCAACAATGTCTATTCTACCAATCCATGAGCATGATACATTTTTCCATTATTTAGCATCATCTGCGATTTCTTTCTTTAGTGTTCTGTAGTTCTCTTTGTAGTGATCTTTCACCTCCTTGGTTATGTATTTTCGGAGGTATTTTTTTTTTCTTTGAGGCTATTGTGAATGGTATTGAGTCTTTGATTTGACTCTCAGCTTGACTGTTATTGGTGCGTAGGAATGCTATTTATTTGTTTTACATTGATTTTGTAACCTGAGACTTTGCTGAATTTATTTACCAATTCCAGGACTCTCTTGGTGGATTCTTTGGGCTTCTCTACTTATAAAATCATATTGTTAGCAAAAAGTGATAGTTAGACCTCTGCTTTCTTGATTTGGCAACCTTTAATTTCTTTCTCTTGCCTGATTGCTCTGTCTAGGACTTCTAGCACTATGTTGAATAGAAATGGTGACAGTGGGCACACTTGTCTTTTTACATTTCTTAATGGGAATACTTTTAACTTTTCCCCATTCAGTATGATGTTAGCTGTGGGTTTGTCATATATGACCTTCATAACTTTGGGTATAACTTTGGGGTAGACTTCTATGCCTAGTCTCTTGAGGGTTTTATCATGAAAGTGTGCTGAATTTTGTCAAATGCTTTTTCTGCATCTGTTG